CCGTCAACTTCGACCTTCGAGCAGACAGGTGGCCTCTATACAGGCGCATCCCACCAATCAAACGCAGTCTTCAACGACATCAACGACGCAACCTGCACAAGGAACAGGAAATATTGTCAGCTGCATGACAAAGATAACAGACTCCTACGTCACCGAATCGCCACCACACTACTCACCGGAAGAGCTACTCGACAAAAGTACCCCTCGCCGCGAGTCTTTGGAACCGAACCCGACGTACGCAGCCATCTCCCAGAGCGAGCCGTCCGGGAAAGACACCTGGTTCTTGGACAGCTGCTGCGGACAACACATGTGCTCCTCGGGTTGCTTCGTTCAACAGGAACACCAACTACAGCGCAAAGTCGTCATCACCGTCGCCAACAACTAGAACCTGCGCACATGAAGACAAGGAATAGTTCAGGTTCAGTCACGAGAGTAACGTTATTCTGCAAATGTCGAAAGTCTTGATTGCAGAAGGACTCGGCTACAACTTACTCATCGTCGGCCAACTAATGGCAAAGGGTATTCATCTTGAAGCAGACAGCACCACTCAGAAGTTCAAGCTGTATCACGGGAGAGGTGGACTCTACATCGGCAAAGCAGACTTGAAGAACAACGTCTTCGTTCTTGACTTCGTTCCAGACCAAGGCACCGCCGACAGCGACGCCATCGTCAATTTCACCTCCTGGACACATCCGCCAGATCTCGACCCCGACTTCAGTCCTCGATGCTTCTGGTACTCGCACACTATACCTGAAGCAGAGAACAAGAGCGTTAGTAACAATTCAACAAACATCGGCAGCAGCAGAGACAACATCGGGAGCAGCAGAGACAACACCGGCAGCAGCAGAGACAACACCGGCAGCAGCAGAGGCAACACCGACTACAACACCGATTGCGGGTCCTTCAACGGCACCAGTCTTTCTCGATGACACTCGACCGACTCCTGCGCAGCAGTTGACTCCCACTCCACGAGAAGTCCACAGAAGCGCCAACTTCACCGCTGGTTTTTATTCCAACTCCGACTTGTACAGGCGCTCACCCGGACATCGCGCTGGTGAAGACATCTGGCACGCAAGATTGGGACACCCGAGCAACACAACGTTAAATAATCTGGTACAAGCAGGCGTCCTTGACAAAGATTCACTACTTCAAACCGACGGCAGAGAACTTCAACGAGTCCGCGGAACATACTTTACCTACCCTGAAGCCGACTTACCGCATCAGCCGTTCGTCTCTCACCACAACCCGAGCGCACCAGCGTACGCACCACTGGAGAAGGTGTACCGCGATATACTGTACAACCGTGAACCCGGACAAGGAGCTTATAACTACGTCATGATGTTCATCGACGCCGCCACACGATACGTCTGGCATCTCAACCTTCCGAGCCATGACACGGCCTTTGAAGCTTTCGTCGCCTGGCTTCCAGTAGCAGAACGGGAATCAGGAGTGAAGATGAAAAGCTTTCAGTCAGACGAGGGAGGAGAATATCAGTCCCAGAGGTTCAAGGACTACCTGGCAGAAAGAGGCATCAAAAGGCTCATCTCCCTTCCCTGTGCCCATCAACAGCAAGGCGTGGCAGAAAGAATGAGCAGGACCCTTCAGAACACCATGCGCAAACTGTCACGTGGCATGCGGCTACCCAACCACCACTTGCGTGAGGTGATGGACCACGTTGTCATGCTGCACAACTTGCTCTCGTCATCATCGCTCCCGAACAACGCATCACCGCACCTGCTGTGGACAGGAAAGTTGGGCAGCACAAAAATGTTACGAGTGTTCGGCTGCATGGTACAGTATTGACCCCCAGCTGCACGAGCTGGTTAATTCTCTCAATGCGCACAGTGGGGAGTACACCTGGGCATCGAAAAACATTACAACGCGTGGAAGATTTTCGACGTCCACTCAAATGAAACAGTAGCAGCAAGTGACGTGATTTTCTACGAACGACTAACCCTCCCAACATACCTTGCCAACCTGGAAGAAGATCGAGACCCCACAAGCGGATTTCAAAATGACCGAGCCTTCGCTTTGGCAGCAGATGAAGCTGACTGGGACGAGCAGAACGTGGACGGAGCTTCGGAGTAAGCCGGACCTCTTCCGTACTGCTCAGTGGACATTCTCGTGGACGACGACAACCCTCGCGAAAGCATCAACGCCGAAACCTACTATCACTTCGCCGACAACGGTTACGTTACACCCGCAAGAGTCAACACCAACGAAGCAGAACGCGTACGACCCAGTTTCACACCTGACCCAGAAGCAGGAGACGAAGCAGCTTATCCTGAGGATGCAAATCTCCCCCGCTACACACAGAGTGGGCTGCAGATACTGGGATTCGTCACTGCCGTCCACGGAGAAGCGCCACCTAAGGAGCCTGCCACGATTCAGCAGGCTCTGGGGGGGAGCATAGGAAAAAATGGCGCGAAGCCATGGACAAGGAGTTAAAGGCGCTGGAAGAACGCTACACCTGGAAAGTCGTACCCATCTTAGTGGCACGCAATAAGACAATACTCACCGGGAAGTGGGTTTTTCGTGTTAAAACGTTGGCAGGCGGAACCATCGACAAATTTAAGGCGCGCTGGGTCGTACGTGGCTTCGATCAAGAGCACGGACAAGACTTCACCAAAACGTTCGTGCCGGTCAGCCGACACACCTCACTGCGGATTCTCCTCGCGATAGACGCTATGAAGCGAAAGAAGCTCCGACAAATCGATGTCGCCAACGCCTTCCTTTACGCCCTTGTCGACGCTGAAATCTTCGTCGAACAACCATATGGGTCTAATGCGGACCCGAACCAAGTATGTCAGCTACTAAAATCCCTGTACGGGATCAAGCAGGCTCCGAGGCTGTGGCAACAGTACCTACACGCCCGGCTAATTCGTATCGGATTCCGTCAACTGCCGCACGATCAAGGGATGTACCGACTCATGAAAGGCGCCGACTACATTCTGCTCATCGTCTACGTAGACGATTTGCTCTACATCGGCTCGACTGACGGTATTACAACCTGATTCGAATGGGGAGCTGCAGCGAGATCTCACACTCACCGTCTCCTCCACCGTGACGTAGTATCTCGGACTCAACATACAGGAAGGAGAAAACGGGATCCACCTCAGCGCTGCGAAATACGCCGACACCATCGAGAAACGTTTCGGATTAACTTCGACCACAATCTCTACGCCATATTGCTACACCAACGGAAACCGCAAGGAAGCCTCCGCTCCACTCAAACCCGCCGGCATACGCGACTATCAACGAAAGCTGGGATGTTAACTTTTTGCAGCCGTCAACTGCCGACCTGACCTATCGTACTCAGCGAGCTACCTCGCCACCTACGTCAAGAAGCCTAAAGCAGACCACATGGCCGAGCTCGACCGCGCCCTTCACAACCTCGTCAGTACTTCGACGATCGGCCTGACCTACTACAAAAACGGAACCTCGACACCTAACCTAAGCTAATCGGCTATGTAGACGCCGACCACGCCGGAGACGCTAACAACAGGCGCTCGCGCACCGGCTACATCTATCGACTTGAACCTATCGGGCCTATCTCGTGGCAGTCGAGCAAACAGGAACTAATCGCCCTCTCTTCAGCTGAAGCAGAATATATTGCACTCTGCTCAGCCACCAAGGAAGGACTGTACCTTCGCGAACTGCTGGAAGAAGCGATGTTGGCCCAGTTACCCAGCTTCTCTCTGTTCTACGACAACCAATCTGCAATTTGCATAGCGAACAAGAAAGGGTTCGCGAACCGGACGAAGCACATCGCCCTACGATATTTCTTCGTGAAAGACGAGATCGAGAAGGGGAGACTCCTGCCCCACGTCCGAGATGGCAGCTGATTACTTGACCAAGAAGCTCGGAAAGCAGAAGTTTGAGTACTGCATGCTGCTGACTGGACAAAGCCACGTCACCAGCAGCGACACTCCAGAAGCGAAGGGGAGTGTTGGAAACAAGTAACTTAAGCGCCCCTGTCGTGTCAGAACATCGAACTGTAAACGAAGCAAATAACAACGAAGCAACGGCGAGTCAACCATCGGAGGTTGACAAATTGCTGGAGGTTACGCGAAGGTCGAAGGTCAACGACCTTTGACTCGACAAATGCAGCGAGACAGCAAGGACAAACAACTGATTTGGTATTGAGCAGTTGCCCGAGTCGTCACTGTATCGAACCGCAACAGCAACACAGTTATTGCACCCTTTAATATTCCTTGTAATCTTACAAAAGCTTGTACCGGTATTACTTCTTTACAATTATTCAATCTTGCCCTCACATACCAGCGCAAGGTGGTTCAACAATTTATCACTGAACGCTTCTGCAATACAACATCTTTATCGGAGTCTCAGCCTTGAAAGATCCTAAGGGCTTTTCTCAGCCCAACAATGGGCCCACCACTACCAATCAACTGTGTGCGATGCGAACCTTTCCGAGGTGAGCGGAGTTAGCATGGATCAGAGTGGGAGTGCTTGTGGGTGCAGTGCTCCATAAAAATGGACAGCAAGATTGCCTGCAATACAAATGTAATCTGGCTGGTGACCAGCAAATCGTTACAACAATAAGCCAAACCAACCAAGCACCTACCTCTCCAACCTTGCTGTGCAGCAGAACACTACTTGTACATAATACAATACAACATATTGGACAACCAACCAGTGCTGCAGTAAGTTACCAAGCGCAGCAACGGCTCGATGACTGTAACTTAGAGCACCAAGTCGCAAGAGGAATCAACTCAAGTGGTTGTGGTAGGGCACACTCCAGGGCATGTGATCTTTTCTCCACATGCATTCGTGTACGTGAGTGGCTTCAGCCGAGCTCCGCACATGCCGGGGGGACATTTTTTCCTGCAGGTAGGGAAAACCGCAAAGGCACATGAGCCAACAGAAGCAGGAGGAGGACGAGAGCTCATGTGAGTAGCTGGCTACAACAATTGGATTTACCCACCCTCTCTTTCCGCCCAACCGCATACATCGAAGATTAACATTTTGATGTGAAGTGCTCACCTGCAGCATCGTTTCAGCGTCTTGTTCGTCTTGACTGGGAGGCACGTGAAGCCTGTAACGCCGGGAGCCGTGCACTGCGTATCTGCTGTGCAGACTTTCCCATCCTGCAGTTGGACAACTCAATAACGAGGACGGCCAATTCAATAACGAGGATAAAAAGTGCTGCTCACAGAAATATGTTAACGTGTGCTTTTGCGCGAGCCATCCTTTCCGAGGGGCGTATGAAATGACCATCTTACGTGCACCCTTCGTCGACGCACCTAAGGTGCATTCTTGCTATCCGTAAGGTACATGCAGGTGTTCGGAGCTTACAATGGTGTTGGCAACGCATCGGCCATATTCGTAGTTGCACACCGAAGCGAACGCCTTCTTGCTGCATCGCGCCGAACGGAAACGAGAGAAGGAGAAACAGAACGCGGGGGAGAGAAAGAAAAGGGGAAGGTGAGAGAAGGAGAAGAAAGAGTATCTGGAAATAGGGGAAGGTGGAGAAGGTGAAAGGAGAAGGATGTAAAATCCGGATTTATGATAGTCTCTGCAGCCGACCCGAGGTCTCATCATTAAACACTCGAATTATTGATGGCAGAAACACATACATCGAAACGGGTCTAATCCCCCAAAAAAAAATCCACGAAACGGGTCTAAAAAGTGCCTATCCCTTCTGCGACCTCGTATTCTGCCGCCCGAAAGGCGGCTCGTTACTCTCTTACGACTCGGTGAAGACACTCACCGCTCCGTGTACTCACACCCGCCTCGTTAGTCACTCACGGCTCGTTAAAGGAGCAGCTGCCGCATGTGGTGATAGATGCCTTGGCGATGCTGGCCGTGGATCCTGGCATGCAGTTGTAGAACACTCCGCATTGCCGCGACTCGCGCGTCGGGCATTTGTACTTGTTCACGCATCCCGGGCGCACGTCACCGTACACCTGGCTCGGACCGCAGGTGAGAATGGCTACGAGGGCGAGCAGTAATAGTGTGGGTGAGGCGTGGAGTCGGTAGGATGTCGACATGACTGGTGACGGGGAAGCACTCGAAATGGGGACGATCGAGGTCTGGGTTTTCCTTGCTTTCTCTTCCCGTTCGTTTCTGCGAAAGAGTTTTCGAAGCTATGAGCGGGATCGCAAGGCCAAAACTATTTTTGCCGGCCCCGACTCTTGTCTCCCTACCAGGCCTTGCTAATCGAATACAATGGCAGGTATGGACCTCTAGGATAACCTAGAATGCACCTAGAAACTGACGATAGGTTTTCGGTATTCAACCTCAGTTCACCATCCGCTCGGCGGAACCGCGGGAGGACCTAACGAGAGGGACCAAGATAAACGCGAGGGATGGGGATGGCAAGCTGTGGAACGGCGGAATCTTCCCGCACTGCTCTCCTACATCGATGGGAGAGGGAGGGCAAGATTTGCATGGGAACTGGGGGGAAAAGGCACGCCAGTTTTCCTTCTTGACCGTGAATTCCGTTCTGGGACTGAATCTGTTAGCGTCAGAGCCGCTAGGGAGTAGGATTGAAGTCCTAGCGTGCCTCCCGTCCCGTCCCATATGCTTAGGGCGTGTCTCCATTTTGCTTTTTAGGGATTTTCTCGGACGGTTCACATATTTTGTTTCAGACGGTCCTAATAGCGCGTACCGGGCAGTCCACTTGGCAGTCCACTTCAGACCATCTGAATCCAAATGCGTCACTTTTCTCACCTTCACAGAATGACGAAGTACTGGTGTCTCGTCAATCACACTATATCCCCGTAACCGAAGTCACACCTACTCGCAAAATGCGCACATCCCCCCTGCGACAATTTTGTGTTCGCCCGACGATCCTGCGCCAGAACTGTTGTAGCGTCCGTTTGCTTTTCGAGCTGCGGACGGTTCGAAATGTGAGCCGTTGTGGAGCGGGAAACGCGACGGTTCGAAACGTTGACGACGTCGCAAGTACAATCACGAATTTCTTCTCGTAACCAGGCGAAACCGATAACCATTTTGCAGATCGGACCGTTCACGGGTTGAACCGTCGAGGGAAAAATAAAGACACGCCCTTACTCCTCGTCTCATCAGTCCCACCTTCTTCTGTTCCGTTCCGTTGTCGCCGCTCCTGACGAACAGCCTGGCGAAAATTCCAGTCTAGCCACAGAAGAGCCGTGATCTGGTGTATAAAAACTTTTGCAATCCAGTCGTGTTATCGGTTACTAAGCAATCAAAGATCTGAATACGCAAACCTGACAATTAAATACCTAAGTACTTGGTAGTTGAAACTCAGAACCACATTAGCGTTTTCGACGCATTTGGAAAGGGAAATATTTGCAGGGGGAGCAGCGCCCTCCGCGGTGCTGTTCTGTTCTGTTCAATCCATTCGCGACGCAGGTGGTACATCACCTGCGGCGCAAACCCAGCACCTGAGAATTCCTCGCCAGACACTTCATGTTACCGTACTGTGGCACACAACACTTTCCCAGCTGTATCATGTTTCAACCTTTAATAACACTGTAAACCCTTGTTATTTGTAATCTAACTTACATATTTATCGTCAAGGACACATTAGTGAAAAGCTGAAGGAAACAAAAGTGAGACAAACTGGCCCGCTCGAAGGTATAGGTCCCTAGGTGTCCCATAGAATACGCGCAAAAATGGGATCAACCCTGAGAATGGCGACTGCCTTAGCCCCTCGAACATCGCCCTACGATGAAATGAATTAAAGGATTTCGCGACGTCTATTTGCAACGCGCACCAGACGGGTGAGTGGCCATCACCGATTGAAAAAAGAGTGGGTGAGATGTCAAAACAGGTAGTTAACTAGTAACTTAGGATGCATCAGGGTTTTACGAGAGAGAAGCAATGTCGAATGAGTTTTGCCAGAAGGTGAGCAAGCAGTACAATTAGGCAAGAAGAAAGAGGAAGGGTGCATCACCAAACAGGGTAATGCTATAACTACAGTAATCAATCATACAGGCTGTTACATATAGAAAATACAACATATATTTTCTGAGACGCCCCCATAACTGCTTGTAGGAGAGAAATATGCAGTAAGCGCCCCCTGAAGGGGTACACCAGGTGCATCAGGAGGTGAGGGCAAGTGAGAGGAGGAGGGACTATGAGAGGAGAGATAGGAGGCGGCGGCTGAAGCTGCTGGCACACGGGCTATCGGAGCAAGGGCATCACGGGCGCCAACGACGCCGGTGGCAAGCAGAACAGGACGAGCACGGGCGGCTACGTGTTCGTCTACGGAGAAACGGCAGTCTCCTGGTCGAGCCAGCGCATCAAGTGTGCTACGTTGCCGTCGACCGAGTCGGAGTACGTGGCGGCCACCGAAGCCAGCAGGGAGGGACGTCGTCTTCGCTTCCTCCTCGCAGAGTTCCGGCAGCTGGATCTCGTGAAGCAGACTGTTCTTCGGGTGGACAACAAGTCGGCCATCACAGTCCCCGAGAGCATGGTTGACAAGGTAGTACTGGAGAAGACGACGGACGTTATCTATGTCTTGTTCAGGTACCCAGCTATCCTCGGAAGGATCATAGCATTTCCAATGAATCAAGAGCTCCAAGGTGCCGTTACGTCGTCGTCGGTGTACTAGAACGACTTCGACTTCGTACTCAGGTTCCCCATTAACGATCACTGGCGGTGGCGACAGCGGCTGGCGACCTTTGAAGACAGTGTTTGGGTCCTGATATGTCTTGAGAAGTTGAACAAGGAAAGCATTGTAAATCTTCCAGGTAGCTGGTAAACGCAAGCGGAAGGTTACTGGAGTCATCTGCGCCGCGACGAGAAAAGGTCCGCAGAAGCAAGGTCGGAGCTTAGACGGAAGATGGCTGATGTCGAGATTGCGTGTATCCAGAAGCACTTGATCGCCAATCTTGATTGAATGATCGTTGCGACTCCGATCAGCGAGCTTCTTTTGTTGCTGCTGGATAGTCAAAAGTCGTTTATGCGTGCGCTCCCACAACTATTGCATAGCGGTAATGAAGTCATGTGCAGGTTGCACCGTGGCAGGTACTATCAGTTTCTGAGGCGTGAGTGGGTTACGACCGTAACAGAGGAAGAAAGGAGTTTGCCCTGTTGCGGCGTGCATGACATTGTTATGCGCACCGGCAGGTGCGCATCCCATGTAGAGATATCGTCCTTACATGCTGCTCGCGGAAGCTGTTCGACAATCTGGTTGAGGCGCTCTGTCTGACCATCCGTTTGGGGAAGATAGGTTGATGACATGGCGAGTTTGGTCCCCATGAGCGACATGAGCTCCTTCCAGAATTTACTCGTGAATTTCGGGTCTCTGTCGGAGATCAGCATTGTTGGAATGCCATGTTGCGAGATGACGTAGCGGAAAAATAATTGCACTCTCTTCGGTGCGAGCCGTTGTGTGTGTCGGGATGAAGTGTCCCATTTAGGAAAAATTGTCGATGACAACCAGGATGGTATCGTAACCAGCTTTGGTAGGTGGTAATCCGGTGATGAAGTCCAAGCTGACCACTTGCTAAGGCTGTTCAGGGACGGGAAGAGGCTGTAGTAACACGGTTTTCTTCTGCTTGCTGCTCTTCATCCGTTGGCATGTGTCGCACGAGGTGCCAAAATTTTGTACGTCATCCGCCATGTGGGGCCAATAATAATGCTTCGCATGTGAAGAAATGAGGAATGAATGAACTAGCAAGCAGGTGGGTACAAGTAGGAAAACCTAAAGTGTTGTACCCCATATTGTCTACCCCACTACAGCCTACACAGACTATAGCATATGAGTTTGACACACCCCCATAGGCAAAGTGGGGGAGAACAAGAGGTCACAAGACCAGTCAAGTAAAGCAAAGCAAGCTCAGGGTGGATCACAACGTCACCACACATTCCGAGCACAAGTGCAAGGCCACAAGGCCAGTTCACATGCAGGATCATATATAAAGGTAAACAAACAAGTGCAGGTATAGAAAGATCACAGTACAAGCAAGGTCAAGAAGTGAGCAAGTGAGGCCAAGTAGGCACAAGACCTAGCATCGTACAGAAGCGCTGATGATCACAAGGCGGAAGTGCCTTGGTAAAGATATCAGCAGTGTTGGCCTCAGAGGCCACGTAAGTAAGGCGCAGCTGACCACGCTGCTGCAGCTCACGAGCAAGGAAGTAGCGAAGAGCAATGTGCTTCGTTCTGTGCTCCAGTCTGTGCTCCCGACATAGGGCCAGCATGGCCTTGTTGTCTACGTACAGAACTGGAGGAGAACGAGGCGGCTCTCCTAGGTCAGTCACCAGGTAGGTGAGCCAGCGTAGCTCCTGTGCAGCCATGGCCCCCGCGTAGATCTCAGCCTCACAGCTGGAGCCGAGAACAGAAGACGAGCGGGTAGACCGCCACGAAACAGAGCCAGAACCAAGGCTGAAGGTGTAACCCTGTGACGACCGCTGCGTAGCCTGGTCGTCAGCCCAAGAAGCGTCTGCGTGACCTGTGAGAACCACTGAACGTCGCCCTCCAAGCACTAGCCCCATGCCCGACGTACTGCACAAGTAGTGCAACACCCTCTTCGCTGCAGCCATGTGCTTTGGTCGGTGTCTCCCAGGAGCAACATAGCGTGCCAAGATGCTAAGAGGGTATGCAAGGTCAGGTCGTGTGCAGGTCATCAGGTACATGAGGCAGCCAACAAGCTCTGGGTACGGGCCACTCGGCTCTACGGACTCATCCGAAGGCAGAGCTGAGAGCGAGTGGCGAGTAGACAGAGGAGTTGCCTGAGGCGAGGAGTACGTGAAGTCGAAGCGCTGAAGGACCTGCTGCACCATGTGTGACTGAGTCAGGGTAATGGTGCGCTGTGCTCTGTCCCGGGTGATCTGCAAGCCAAGGTAGCTGCGCAGTTCACCCAGGTCTGTGCACGTGTGTCTCTTCTGCAGCTCGGACTTCACGTGGGCGAGTCCAGCAGTGTCAGCAGTAGCAAAGACCAAGTCGTCAACGTACACGAGGATGTAGAACGGCGGCAAAGAGGTGTCGGTGCGCAGAAACAGCGACGGGTCGGCAGTAGAAGGAGCAAACCCAAGAGCCGCAAGTGTAGTCCTCAGTGTG